CAAAACTGCAGAAATAAACAGCATATGTCCCTTTGTTTGGGCTTTCTGGCTGAGTATTTTCAATTTTCTAAAAATTCTCAAGAAAAAACTTCGGTTCAACACCCACTCAACCCATGCTCACCTTGTTTGAGCTGTAATTAAGTGAGCTTTTTCAAGTAAGTTTCAGCGTTTCCCTCGCTCTTCTCTTTACGTGTGACATCACAAGCATTGTTTCAAATGAAGAAAGTGCAGGGCACTTTTTCGAAAAATGATGTGGTATCATGAAACAAAGTGCCTCTTATTACTCTGAGTGCTAACGAAACATAATGTAAAGCTGTTGATCACTTCGTAAATTGGGTTTAGAATGAAATTCTAATGAACAATCATGGTAATGTGCTGGATACTTGCCTTTTCCAAATTTTATATGACGGTTTGGACTCAGAGAGTCAGAAGGTGATTAAGGTTACCGCGATGTAACCATTTTAAAACCATCACATCAGGTAGTGCTATCGACCAGATTGCTACCACTCCAGTATCTGAAAAAACATCCCTAAAAGCTAAGTCTTGCAAAAAGTTTTTGGTCCTGTTGGGTTTGTTCTACCCACCTGTTATTCTCCTCAGACAGCTCAAAAAAATTTTTACAGTAGAGAACTTCGGTCATGGCCAAACATGGCTTGCAGACCTGCTTTTTCATGAAAGCTTGTTTGTTGAACTGCATTGAGGACATAAGCATTTGGCAAAGTACGAGCAACTGCATCAAATGAAAGATGTTCTACAAATCTCGTTCTCGGGATGAAGCGCTCCTTTCAAGGCAACCCAATACTAAGTAAGATAATTGTGTGCTTGAATCTATTCAAATCACACTTTCGTCTTCACCAACAAGAAAAAAACAAAAAAATCTGGTTATGTGTGAATTTGTGTAAATCCATGAGGAAAGAAAGTTCTTTCTACTCCTTACTGCTTTTAACTAGGCCTTATTGTAGCGTAGTGTTGTATGCATGCTGCGGAGGTCTAAGAAGATCACTTCGTAGTTCTGAAGAGAAATAAAACGAAAGAAGCCACTACTGGATACCCAAACCTTCTTGTATTCTTCACTCAGAGGCTCGAGTTGTTTGGGTTGATAGTTGATGCCGGGGCCTAATCATTCTCAATTGTGAACAACGCATTGCTTCCACCCATAAACCTCTTTATGCTCCATGTCATTGTGCAGACTCTTCCGCATATTCAGTCTCTTCTAAAGTATACTTTTGTTGGAACTGGCATGGAAAGAACGCTCGAAGCAAGTTATTTTTGTGACCGCAGGCCAAGACTGCATCTAAGCGAACACAGGAGAACCAAGAAAAAAGTGTAGGTTTCACTTGTATGTGGAAATTGTTACAACACATTGAGACATTTTCTTATCATTCTCTCTTTATTTCTACTTTTGATATTTTTGTAGTTTTTTCTTTCCTTTCTCCTAATAGTTTACTCCAAGCTTGCTTACATTATAGAGTGCCAAGGAGCACTACTAACGAATAACAGTACCAAGTGGATGATTGCTAACACAACTATCCAATCTATAAGTGAAATTTTGGATTTTTCTTTCTTTCTTTTTTCTGTTTTTCTTCCTTTTACTTACTAGTTTACGATCTTCCGTCACTACTGATGAGTTCCGTGAAGATCGTATACTTTGCCTAATTTCCGTATAGTGAGTAGGAACGAAACGGAATTAGGTAATTTTTTTGTTTATTCCCTAAATATTCGAAAGATATGCGTTGATTGCGTCCATCAGTAAATTTCTTTGCCTTACTTTTTTAGGATAAGAGTCTTATTTAATTCTGCACTTAATTAGCAATCAAAGTTTTAACTTTTTTCGAGCGTTGCTTACCATATGTTTTTCCGCAGACTTCATATAGAAAACATGTGGAGCTTGTGACTTAAAGGGTGGCTCTCTTTGAAAACATTCTAATAACAGATATGGAAAACTTCCCCTAGGCCATTTAATACATGCCACGCTTCAATACGCACTATTATAAAGCATAATGATCTGCTAGGAAGTTATAATCGTAACATTGCACATTCAGCGGTAGTTTTGGGATAAATGAACTTGTGCAGATCCCCAGACAAATACAGCATTTATGCAATGTTTCCTTCTAAGTTGCTATCGTATCAAAAGCGACTAAATAAGTGTCAAAACAGACGAAAACAGCTGCTTTGAATTCACAAGAAACACATGCACCTGCCTTAGCTACGTTGCCTATTTTACGACAGAAATAAACCGAAGCTCGCTTTGTTTTATTACAACTATTTTTCCTCTCATTTTTATATGACGAAGAATGCTAATTAGGTGGGTATTAATTTGGGTCCACAGACCCCCTTTTGATGTTGTTTGGCTATTCTGCACCTCCACTTCACACCAATTTTGTGATATATAATTGTTTGCAGTAATCATCGCTGTGTAACTTTGAGTCACGCTCTCTCATTAATTCCTGTGAATGACTGGCATGAGCTGCTCAATTAGTGGAGATTAGATGGGAGATAGAGAGAATGTGCTAAGCTAGTGAGAGCTAATGATTTGCAGAAAATGAATGTGAAGATATCATGGCTTCTGTCATACCAGCTTTCACTGTGGCTTTTCAAGCAAAAGGGTTACTTCAGAATTATTAGGTTGCAAGTTTTATAATTGCAGAAATAGTTTCCTTTTCTAGGTCTAGTCGAACAACTTTGTTTATATCAAACTTTCTTTTTGGTAGAGGTTTTGCATATCGTTGGAAAGTTTGCTTCATGTACTTTCTAACGGTGATGCAAATCACCTCCTATTCTTATCTGTGAAATTTTCACCAGCATTTTTGCGCAGTGGCACCAATATCGGCATTTCATTGCAATCACTTTCTTGGCCACAATTGAGGCGCAGATAATTTCTTTAGAAAACATAGCTACTGTATGGGATAGATATTGCTTACCTATTACATGCTTAAGTATACTCGAATATCACGGAGTGAGAACGACGACCTTAAATAAATACTCTCTGGCAATCTATATTCAAAAATTTCTTCTGATTACGGCATTCGCCGGATTTTGCTCATTTCTATAAGCCTGGAATTAGGTCGTCTTGATTACTATTTTTGCAAAAAAACTTAGCTGAGGGCGTGAAAAATTCCAAGTTCCTATAATTTGGGATCTCAAGTATACCACGAATAAGCTCAAAATAGTAAACAATTTTGAATTTTTACTTTCTTGTTTTCGCAGAACTTCTTCGTTGAAATCTTTTCTATGCGCCATAGCGCCATATATTATTCGCCTATGGCTAGAAAATAATCTGATTATCAGCCATAACAACAAAATTTGGAACAATTAGGTAGATCCTTAATAGGTTTTCAAAAGAAAGACTTTCAGTTTTTGATACATGCTTTTCTTCCCATTCACGGTATCAGTTAAGTTACGAAAATTTACTGCTTCTAACGATTTTGACTACGTTTAAGATTACAAAGATTGAATCAAGTTATAGTCAGTCAAGTGAAAATCTGCGAGACGGACACTATTTTTGCACCATTCTAACTCAATCAACGAGTGCTGATGCGCTTGAAAATTAGAAATATCTCATAGGAACCACACATAAGCAAAATTTCGACGATCAGATCAAATAAGCGGAAAATAGTCACACTTATTCCATTTCAGAGAAGAATCATTCTTATTCATTAATCGGTGAGTACTTTATCTACCTACGAAAATAAGTGGTTTGATTAGGCAGCATGCTGATCATATGCATTCCTATATCTGTTGCCCTTCGAAGAAATTTCTTCACTGAGTGTACAGTTATAGTTAGCTAACTTCTGCCCTTAGTCTCTTTTGTCATTAATAAGGAGACCTGAGCTCTTAAAAGTAGTAAGATTTTAGTCAAGCGCGGATGTAGCGTCTTATCTTAATAAGAATGATTTAAGTTCCACTTGGAGACAACTAAAAAGATATAGGACTATGCTGCTACTGAAAGCTAGGAGCTACAATGTACTTATCAATCTGTGAAGGTAGTTTGTCCTTGGTTTGAAGAAGTAGTACTTCTCAATATTCTTTCAAAATTCGAACTTACAACCAGTATAAAACAAAAACCAAGCTCTATATAAAAAAATTCGAACCCAATATTGTGGTTTTCATATTGTCATGAAATCAAAACCTCCTAGGATGCAAATGTCGCAAATGTCAAGTCTTTTTACAAAGTTTACATTTCGTGAGTGCTAAAATTCATGGCGTCATCCAGTATATTCGCTGTGATTCTCAAAATTCGTAAATCATTCATAACACTGTTGCCTAAAACCTTTCTTTAGTGAAACTTAATTTCTTGAAACTCGTGAGTACGGTTACGTTGAGTTATCGAAAAGTTATAGGTTCTCAAAAAAGGGTAAAACTTTTATTATAAACTAATATAAGTTGGCTCTTTGCACGTGCATTTAATTGTCATTTGCTCCGGCAACACATGCGATCAGGCAATTATACTAATTGAGACTGCATGAAAAAGCAATTATTGGATGGTGACAGAATTAACACACCTGAATCAATTACTATAACACCAGCCACTTATTGACTAACCTTTACTGCCTGCCAGCAAGCTTTACTTACCCAAGTCGACTTTCCGTTTTTACTATTAATGGACAATATGCTATTAGATCTAGGGCAAAAGGAAGTATTAGAATTTTATTTTAGTGACCTGTGAAGCTATTTTCATCGCGGTAACATTTGATCTACCTTCAGCTGATAGTAAATTTTTCAATCGATGAAGTCAGGGTACAGCCACAAAGCCCTTGTTCCTTGTCGATAGCTGACCTCCCGGGGCCGGGAGTACCTGGGAATTTCCCCTCAAGTGCTACTGTACAGCGGCAGCTTAGTCACCATCTATAATTACACCTTCGTCCAGCACTTTGAGTCATTATCGCTGTGTCGGGAGTGCTGCAGGCGAGCGCGCAATATCGGGGGTGCACATGGGGCGGGGCGGAGCCGAGAGGGGGGTGAGGAGGAGGCCTTCCATAAATGCAATGGTTCTCCCGTCTATTACCCTATTAGGCTGCAATCCGATGTTGTTTCTTGATCGATTAACACTGCAATGAGGGCGTTTCCTGCTGAAAGCTTTCGTTAGAGCACGGCTTCTCTCTTTTAGTCACTGTTTTGTTCATTAGAGCAATCTTTTGCGCTTGCAGGTTTGATCATGATCTCTATGGCGAGCGCAGGCTCGGCCTTTAGACCTTACTATCGCCCTGAGTTTATTCCAGCTCCTGAACCGCCTTTGAGGTAGGCCTTGATTACATTAATTTGTTTGATCTTTCCTAATTACTCGCTAACGAGGTCATTCTGCAGAAAGTTGTACTCGGACCCGGAACCGGCAGCCTCTAGCCCCGTCGAAAATGGCTCGAACAAGGCTAGACGGAAGCGGACGACGTTTACGCAACATCAGGCCACTGTTTTAGAAAGGGTAATTCTTCACGACTATTCTAAGCTTCTCATTCTTTCCTAATCCATTTCCGTAGCACGTTTTATTCGCTCGTTTCTCAGCGCTCGTTTTTCCAAGAGAGCATGCACGTAATTGGCTTTGTTGTGCTTCGGCCTCGATTATGCTTTTCCTCTTAGCCGAGCATTCTATAGCGCAAAGCTCAGCGCTGCCCTTTTCAGTCTCCAAAAAAGCTCAGGGATAGTTTTATTTAGTTCCACATGGTGAAATAGATCAAGTGAAACGTTTGATTGCAACACTTATCCGATGCACATTGCGCATCGATGAGGGGGGATTATCTCATAACGAGATAGAAGGGCATGTGTGGGATTACATGACGCGCTTTTTGCTGTTCGTAATTTCGTGAAATTAACATTTTCGATAGTTTGCACTCCATTTACATCAAATAACAGCGCGGATTGTTCCCGCGAACTATCAAAGTGCGTTTTCTATTTTAATATCGCTGCCATATAATGGGTAATCCTTGATCGTGAACGTTCAATAAATGTGTGTGAAGATGTGGAAATTGATTGACGGGTGCGAATGCATGCGAGCGACATCTGTCGATGGAAGGGAATGGATTAGTGGCATAGGGTTACGGCCGTCTCTCTCTTGAGTATCCATCTGCCAGCCCATCATCGAGCGTGATTTGCACCGTTTGTCTGGCAAGTAGCCTTCCAGTATGGGACTAATTACTGAGATTGAAAAAAATTGAAACGCCGCAATTTCGTCTCAAGATGCAGGCGCAGTATGGTTGGAGGGTAGTGGAATGGAGAATTTTTGGCACCCACTACAATAAAACAGTATGGTCTTTGTCTAGATAGTGGGATCTTTGGAATTTGCGCCACACATCTACGGAGTTGGAAATGTTCTTCATCCAAAAATTGAGAAAAGCGAGAATTTACTAATAAGTGGACTTCTTACGAAAACTCAATCTATGGTGGGGCCAAAAATTAGAATTTTTTTCAGCTACTAAGCAAACCATACACAGTTTAAGATTGACCTATAACTTGAGCTGTGGAGTTTACAGTTTGGTACCAAGAACTATGATGTGAATTGCTTTCCTTTACTTCTCTCTATCCAGTCCCTGAGAAAAGCCCAAGTCAAAAACTCGACGAGAATCATACAACACTAACAATAAGTTCTTAGAGAAAAATCAAAGCAATGTAAGAAAATCAATCAAATTAATCTTTTTTATTCCTACGCTGTGTTGATTTTGTCCAGCTACACTTTGGTACGTCTGAAGAATTTTCTGATTTTTACGAATCATTCTCTCCTGATGCTACACTTATGGGAGGCTATCAACATTCCCATTCGGAGGAGGGGGGGGGGGGGGAAGGAGGAGGGAACAAAATTTTTTTTGAATGAAATGACAGTGCAAGGCTTTCCTCACTCACTTCAAATTTTGGAATATTTCTCCAAATTTTTGCGAGTTTGCAACCTCGAATCTTAGAAGAGGGGGGAGGGAGAGAAAAGAGTAGCGGTGCCACTTCCGGAATATTTTTTTTCCACAACCAAGCTGAATTATGAAAAAATCTTGAAAATTTTGAAAATTATTAACAAGTATTAACAAGTGACTTGCACATTTTTATAACCGTCAGAAATGCTGATATCTTTTAGCTCTTCTTATGAAACTGCTCTTGTCAGGATATAGGTTTCTTTTATCTAAAATCCATTACCTTAGCATTTAGCAATTGCTTTTCTATTACTTTCATTGACTCACTTTCCTTGATTGGAGCAAATTTAGTCGCAGATGGTTAATTAGAAGATGAGAAAAACTGGGAAGCTGCATTTCTTCAGCCGAGCTTTTTTTGCAACAAAATGACGTCCGCCGGCCACGTTTCGCTCTAATTAAGGCTAGCGTTTTCTATCTGATTAAGAAATGCCGATCCAGTTTCACAGTAGTCGTGGCTGTCTGCCGCGGCTGCATCGGGCAGTGTGCGGGCAGTGCTTGTCATTCTCGAGCCTCGGCGCTCGGATGGCGCGCGCTAATTGCTTTTGCAATGACGCTCAGTGCAATAATCACTATCGAGGAAATGTTTATTCCGTGAATGCGTGCAATAGATCGGCAGATTAACGCCTCGGGCGATGCTTGCTCTAACCCCTGCGAAATAGATGAAATAGAGCAGCGGAAAAACGCGCCGCTCTCTCGGAATCAATTATATGGCGGGTTATTTAAGGAATACCTCTCTGAGCACTACATGATCCGCGACAAGCGGGCCCAACTAGCCGAATCGCTGGGGCTTTCCGAGGCGCAAGTGAAGACGTGGTTCCAGAATAGGCGAGCCAAAGATAAGAGAGAAAAGAAATCTGACAGGTCGGTTTTTCTTCAATGTCCTTCTAATCTCTATGATGAATGGCTCATCATTTTAGCCCACATAGTGCCACAAGCTCAGCCGACGTTTCTGTCAAAGAAGAACGACTGGACACTTCTGTAAGTCTAACACTACACAAGGCCAGAAAGTACGGACGTTACAACACAAATATCCTATCCCTCCCAGAATCTCTGTATTGAGAGATAAAAAAGTTGTGCGGGGCAAACTTCCCTGTTGCCAGTACTCCGGAATCAGCTTCCACTCAACCGCCACTGCGGCGGAATCAGCCAGCACTGCGTAGTAATATATCCACTTTAAGAAAGAGAAAATTGATATCAGAGCATAGCCGTACTCGTGAGATCGTGCTCTACAAATCTCATGTGTTCGAACTCATTCCATTCATAGTTAAATCGCGACGGGTACATTTTTGAAATAACATTTTTCAGCATATTAGTTACAATTAGTTGTGGCTGTTGCTTATGCAGGAACCAGCCTGCTGCGAGTGGCAGGGATGTCTCCAGTTTCCACTGCAGTGATAATTTTATTAAAATTTATTTGTGGGAAAAATTCGCAAACACAAATGTGACGCCCATACTTTCCACCCACTTTTAGAGGTGTTTTGTGGACTGAAGCATAGTTTTTCCTTTTTCAGCAGACATCATCAGCGATATCGCCATCACCGCCCATGAATCCAGCTTCAACTCCACCGCCTCAGCTGAAACCTACTCCATCTCCTATACTACAGAATCACCACGTTCTGTCCAACCTACTACAAGCAGCACCTCTGCCAGACTACACAAACTACCTCGTTCACCTAGGTCTTGCACCCATTGATGCGCTGTCACCCATGAACCCAGTCGTGCCAAAAACCGAACCGTTCTGTGGAGACGGTGCCACTAAAGATATCTACAGCATCCCTTCCATGTATGAGCAGAGCTTTGGCTCCATCTACGGTCACATTCCCATAAGTGCTAGTGCCATGACCGTAACTCCCACTAGCTATGCTCCCGAACCTCTGGCACCGGTGGAGAACCACGACACGATGTCTACAGAAAACACTCAGCTCACGTCGCTTTGATCTCGTCCCAAGGACTAATTTTGTACAAATTGCCAATATTTGAACTGTCGTCGTAGTTCGTCGGTGTTTCTATTTCGACTATTATTGTTTCGAAATCTGATTACTCTTTCCAATGTACAGATTTACTGGTAGAATCATTAACGCAGCTCTGTTTTTATGCATCGAGTATCGATTGCCACATATCTGCTGTTTGATACATTGTCTGAGCACTTTTAACTTTTTATACAAGCATAAAGTTTGCCAAAGTAATTCTAACTACTGTGTCCATTACTTCCTCTTCCTGTCTGATATAAGGGAGTTCATCTCAAATCAAGCTATAGTTGATGACTAGATTTGCGTTGTTGTACCCGTTGTGCCTCTAATCAAAACGAAATTCGAGGCAGAATTGAACCAGGTGCTAGAGATCGACGAGCGGCAAAGGCTGAAATTGAATGGGTCTGCTGCTATTTCTGACCTAATCCAGCGACCATAAATTAGTAGATAAAATCTCCTTTTAGAACAAAATCTTATTGAATAATTAGTATGACATTATTGGACGTCGCGGCTTTTTTATTTGATTGTGCTAAAAACGATTATTTGATGGATATAAAACAAGCTGCAAAGTCTATTATTGGGGAAGATATTTCTTTGAAGCTATCACGGACATTTAATAAATAAAAATTTCTTCTGAGTTGATTATGAACTAAGCGCAAAGAAGGTGAGCCGAAAAAAGAACTGAAACTGTAATGACTGCCAAATTCAGACCCTTGTTCAGCTTAAGGTGGTACAGCCATGATTGTGGAGCCTTTTCTGAGTCTTGACTTTGGTGTGCGTTCGCTCATCAAAAGATTCCCAGAAATGAGGCATTCTCCATTCTTGCCAAGAAATCATTATTTCGTTTGATTTTTCGCGGAATGTAGTTTTCCTCGAATATTTTGGCCACATCTATCCTAATTTGCGCTTGAGGCATCCCACTGCTTTGATGCAAAAGTAGGAATCAAACTTCTAAGTTGAAAAAGAACAAGATGGGAGTTGCAAAGACAAGTGTAGATCTTGTTTTGAAATTCACTGATTGCTATGACATTTTGTGGTGATCATGCCCAGAGATCTACTATTACACTTTTTTGAACCTACATTTGAGACACAGAAAGTACGTAGAAGACGAAGAATATAAAAAAAATACGCTCCCAGTTTATATTGAAAGGAGAAACTTTGCATGCAAAAGATCCACTTCGGGACTGAAATCTTTTGAGTTGTCACCTATCTTCTTTAAGATTGTGCAGCAACTCTTGCGTTTCTTTGAGTGACTGAAGTATCTACAAGACGGTCCTTAGACCATTCCTCGTACTTTATATAAAACTAACCCATGTAAGGTCTTGACTGAGAAATTTTAAAAATTCCAAAATTGGATTTTGCTGCTTGCATACGCTTACGCTAAACAAATCAGATATTCATGCATACATCCAGTTTCATACATGCCAGTTTTATAGCTAGAAATCAAGGAAAGTGTTGGGCTTGAAGCGGCGAGTTTTTCATAGTATAACGATAGATCAACTGTATTGGCCTAGTTCTCAAAAATATTAATTTCAGCGTCCAAATCAGAAAGTCATATGAGATCTAATATCCGGTAATTGTGTTGGATGTAAAAGGTGTTCGCTATTTGTTTCGAATAAATTGATCACTTACAGCACCTGATCAAGACCTCCAGTACTCACTTCGAAACCTCCCTAATCGCAAAACTCCATACAATGTGTGTTCATGCTCGCAGCTGAAACGTCATGCGTTGTCCAGCTGATGCCTGTAGAAATTTTCTTTTTTCTTAGTTGTCGAGCTGAATGTGTAGGCCCTGATCAGCCAGTAACATGTGTAGGGATTTTCACAGTACTAATAGTCGTTTCCATTTCCAACAGTCGCGGTGAATTTGTTAAGTGAGGTAGAAGTTGCTGGAAATTTGCCATTTGAGAATGGATCAAGAGTAATGGGGAAGAGAATATTAAGTCGCCGAAAGGGGAGGTCTTTTGCGGAGTCTGCAACAAACGCGCACTTCTCTCCATCACAGCTCGTGATAGGTGTCGGTGAGAGTGGAGCTATTGGCGACCTAATTCCAGTACCCAGACTAATCAGCTCACCTCAATCGCTTGTCCGTTACAAGCTCAGCCAATGCCTCATTGTAGAGACTCGCAAGTATTACCGCTGAAGCCTCGCGGGCAGAGGCAAGTACTGCACTTTTGGGGTTGACGATTCCGTAATTCTTACAAGATGGTTTGGATTTGCATTTCGCTGAAAGCATGTGATCGTCTCCAGGTTGCTGCGCATATTTTATAATGCGTTCCATACGTTCTGCGAGTGAATTTAGAAGTTGAGCCCAAAGCAACATAAACCTTGAAAATCCTGACAATACTCTGCAGTGCGGCAGAATTTGTTTGCACTAGAGTCTTTCTACTACATTTTTCTGTCTTTGATGTAGATATCAGTAAAGTAAGAAAACCTCTTTGAAGGTTACAAAAAATTTTTGTAATGAAAAGGCATGGCATTAGCCATGCCCGAACTTGACGGGCCCATACCTCAAGCCATCCCCCTCTCCCCCCCCCCCCCCCGAAAAAACTTTTTCGCAAAGGTAATAAAAACCTTCAAAGATTTTGAGATTATTTTGGTTGTCTACAAGTAAAAACACACTTGCGCATTCTTAACGTCATGTTTTGAACAATTTTACAATCTATTCTCTTGCCCCCCCCCCTAATAGTCCGAATAGTATTATTCGCCTACTACGTGCAAGTACTCATATACAAAATCTAGTTAGACAACCTTAGAAACACAAGCGTAGACAAGTTGACAATTTTTTGCACCACTAAAGTGAAACGCTAAATCAGCATCTTGAAAGAAAGAAAAATGAAGGTGTCGATGTAAAGATGAAAGCTCACAGAAAGAACTAAAAGGACGGTCTCCACGCTGAGTAGACTTGAAATACTTTTGCTTCTAAGTATAGCATAAGTATACGTAGTGTATGAGTGTTACCGCTGACTCTCATGCATTGCTTCTCACAAACTGTTCACCGCATTTTAAATCATTTAAGCGAGATTTTGTAACTACCTGCACTTCTTAAATGGATACTGGTTGGAAAGCCTCAGCTAAGCCTCGGCTGCTCATATCATCCATGGAAAATATAAACGTGAACAGTCCACACCTCATTTCTTACCGTACTCGAGGGCGCTGACTTGGCGAGGAGGAAGGATAAGGTCAGAAGGCAAGATTTGAACGTGAATTTAAAATTTCTTGGTATAGTACATCCTACAAGTTGTCTTCTAAGCGAATTTATTAGCTAAGGCATCACGAGCAGTTTCCATGTAAGGAGCTTAGGTAAGTAATCTTCTAAATGCTGCCTATAATCTGACATTTTTGACGATTACAAAGAGCGGAGATTGCTCAATATTGCTTTTGGTATTCGCATTTTGAGTGATGTGCAAGAAGATAACGGATGTACGATAAAACACTGCAGATTTTCTTTTGGTAATTACAGCTAATGAAGAAGAGCAAGCCCAGATCTATTGTCAGTTCGAGATACAAACCTTAAATTTTAGACATGAGTGAGTGGACCAGAACTGAGTTGCCTGTTTGATTGGAGGTTGGTAAGAAGCTGCAATACATACTTGCCAGTCATTACTGAAACTCCTAAGGTCTTGGGTATATATAGTTCAAGCGATTTCATCTCCTCGCGACTTTCCCTGCAAGACAATTGTTATGAATCTATTGCATGCCGACCCTCCTGTATTTCGGTTGTGATAGTTTTCCGTCACGACTAATCGTGACTAACTATCATAACCGAAATGCAAGGTGATCGACATGCAAAGGACTCGTAACTTGCCTTGTCGCGAAAATCGCGGGCGACGAAATCGCGTAAACTATGCCCGAGGCCTAAGACTAGACTCACAGAATGAGGATTCGATATGGTACGCTATAGCCTTATCGGGATTCCACATCCTATTCGTAGTAATTATAGCTTGTCGTTTTCTCCTTGCATTGGAGTTGTGTGATTCTGACTCCGAGTCTAAGATTTTCGATTCGAGTCTAAGATTTGAGTAGTAATGGTCTGGCACCACATGGAGACATATCCGACTTATCGGTTTCAGAATCATCTTCGAGTAACTCCTCTATCGGCTTAGGATGGAGGATCATATCACCTTCAAAGGCGACTGCTCTAATCTTCGCTCAGCCTTCGGACCTCTGATGTGTTTGGGATTGCGTGGTCCTACAGCGGCACGGATTTTCTAGAAAAGTGGCTATTTAAAGGTATTTTGGTCTAAGCGATTGGCTTGAGCTCGTTATTTGAATAGTGCTTACGTCATCGGCTGTGTTCCAGTGTGACTTCTATTTCTTCTTTCGGAACTTGCATTCACCATCTCTATGCGCCTTGCAATCTAAGTAGAGCTATCAAATTAAATAAAAAAAGAACTTTCAAAACACCTTTCTGTTCAGTTCCTCAGTTGGCCCTTCGCTCTCGCTAGTGTTATTGGTATCAACAAGCTCCATTTAGCCTAAGAAAGTCAGTTATTTAAGATGGAGTCTATAAAGCTCACCTCTTCAATGGCGTTTTCGTCCATCGCTATGATAATGTACGGCATAGCCAGCAAAACAATCCATAGCAGCATGGAAACTCTCGTTCTTTACTGGTCGCTTGAAGCTTTCATGCGATCCAAGTTGTTGTCATTTACTTCTACGTTTAATTTGTACATTTGCAAAATTTCATCAATGTTTGGTGACCACCATATTCTTAAAGTTGGACACTGGAAATATTACGGTTTGCACTGGAGGATGTCAACAGTCGTAGTTCTCGGTTCGACTCTTGGATGATGACTCGCGTTCTTAAAAGTCCATGCAAGAAAAGACAGTGTAAATCCTCGGGTAGAGTTCACGCGATTTGATCGTCGTGATTGACTGCGACAAGACAACAGCGACAATATCACTGCAGGCCGTTCTTCTTGCATTTCGACTGTGATAGTTTTCCAACACGACTAATCGTGAGTAACTATCACAACCGAAATACAAGAAGATCGGCATGCAACGAACTCGCAACACTTGTCTTGTAGCGATTGAATCGCGACGATCAGTCGCGTGAACTCTGCCCGAGGCCTAATACGAATGCTTCGGTTAGATTGTTCTCATCTAAAAAGCATTACACTTCGATTGCCAGTCTTCTCTATCCCATCAATGGCTTGTCCACTTATTGGCTCGAGAACTATTACATCTACTGTAACAGACGTTGTAACTACCGCTCATAATCCGTCAAAAAAGTCACAAATGCCACTGGAGTTCACCAAAATCCGCGTCGCTTCCCGTCCCTTGGTTCAGAGTGGACGAATCTAGTGCAACTACCGTATCCAAACGGGCAATTCGGTAATGCAGAAAATGCGCCTCGCCGAGCTGAGTAATCGGACCGTTGGATTCGAAATTTATCCACTCCGAAATTCGGCGACTTTTTTGACTGATTTTGAGCAGTATTAAACCACATTAACTCTGGTACAGCTTTTAGTGCAATTTTGAGCGTTACTCGTTCAAATTTCTGGTTATGAGTATACACACAGAAGAAATACGGGATACCGATGATTTGCCTTCTCTGTGCAGTCTATACATTTGGCTCACTTGACCGCTTCTACTTGCGTTCTGACTCAGTATCTCAGTAATCCGAAACTCCAGTCAAGCTCAGATGCGCTTGTATAATGACCGCAGGATAGGTAGGTGATTGGTTAAAGCGCTGTTTTCTGCTTATACCATATTTCCTATGCCGCTCTGTCAGCACTGGTAGGGATTCTTCTGTCTTGTTTTTTGTGTTTAGCGCTTCTCACCATTGAATAGCTTCCTCTGTGTTGTGAGGTTGTTGTACACTAATTTTTGTTTTGTGGCGTCGTTGTCCATTAACTACCACGGTCGAAGCACTCCTGGGTTCACTGAAATAGAATAAAATAGGATATGTTTGGTTTTTTCGTAAATGCGGATCATATTAGTATGATACATACTGTTGCACCTTTCGCATGTATTGTATATTAAGAGACTCTTTCGCTAATTTCAGGTGCTAATCGAAATCTTAACCCAAACGTTCTCAGGAAATCATCCAGAATATTTAATGCTAATTTTCGTATAGTTGGCTTTGGTGCAGAAAGCTCATCTTCGTTATGATTTGCTAATTCAAATTAATCAAAATTTTTCATCCGATCCAAGTCCGCCTTTAACTATTAGAATTAGTCGCTGAGTTGTCAAAAGTTACGGAATGGAGTCTATATTGCGTCTAAAAACATAACACTTGAACAGTATAGATTTTGACAAACCTGTTTTAGCCTAGCCTATTGATGCGATTTCTAAACCCCTATCCCATTCATTTTTGCTAGCTACGCCAAAAGGATTCTGTGATAAGCAGGGTTGAGCGTGGGGTCAGGCGCGCCCGACCTGGGGGGTCGTTCTGGGGTAAGACAGAGGGGGGGGGGGTCGTGATTAGGAATCGAATTCGTTCGATTGAGGAGATACTACGATTAAGGTGAAGAAGAAAAGCGCTAGTTTAGTGGATATCGCGACCTCACCAGTAATGAAGGAATGAACGGTCTTAAACAGCATACTGATTGATTCCACAATCGAAGTTTCGGCCAAAACTCCAGTCTTCATCTTCTACCTTGACATATTATAAATTCATCAAGGAAGCTTGCTGTTTGAAATGGGTATCATTTTCGAGCACGTCAAATTACCTCTATGAGCCCTACAAACCATTATTTACTGCATTATCTAGTGTTTCTCAACGACTAAAAAGCGTGATTTTCAAACATGATTAACTTGTTTTCAGAAGTGAGAAAAGTCAATTTTTTTGTACTCGTAACAAAGTATTGTTCCCTACTAGTCTAGGCTAAAAATCGCGCTTTGTATCGCTTGCAAATAGTGGACTAAGAAATAATGCCAAAATTTCGACCGGCGCGTTTTTCGCCATGACTGCTTCAACTCCACGGATTACCACAAGGCCGAAACAAGTCGAATCAAGTCCAAACACTTACTGTGGAATCTTCGAGGGTTGTGCTAGCGATTCACATAAAACTTGAATAAAAAAGCTTCTTCAATGATAAAGTTAATCGGGTCAGGCGCAACCCCACAAAAGGTCAGGCCGCCTGAGCTTTTGAGGGGTTGCGCCTGACCCGATTAACTTTTTTTCAAAATCTAAAAATCGCTCCATTTCTGCTACGAGTATTGAACTCAAAGCCTCTTCTTGCAATACTGCAAATTTGGAGCCAAACAATACACCCCTGTGGGAATTACAGCTCTAAAAGTAGGGCTATCCAAAATCCAAAACTTGCCGTCAAGTTGCATGTGCTGTGCAATCGCAGGAAGTCGACCTAGGGGCCTCCAAAAAACAAGAACCTCCCAAAAACGGCTGATCTCTTCGAATTATCACAGCCTGAGGTCCTGGAGGTGAAGCAGAGGGGTCGTTTAGGGGCTTTCACTGCGGGGGGGGGGGGGTCGTTTTAATAGGACTTGTGCCTGACCTCTTGCTCAACCCTGGTGATAAGTGTGGCCGGAGAACTCCGGATTGAAAATTGAGCGATACACTACGAAGTGTATAAATTTTCGATAAGAGCAGCCGCGGGAGCGTGTCGAAAGACAATCTTCGCTTTTCAATGAAAATATGGAGCGAAGTTAGTTGACACTGTTACTGTGAATTCCTTGCTGGTGAGTGTGTAGGCCAAAAACTGACCAATCAATAAATTCCTCTTCCTGAGCTCGTGTTCTAGTCAACTCTGTTACAATAGTGGCTAAGCTCAGGCAACTTGAAAGCCATTCACCAAAACCAAGCGTTCTGATCACGAACTATTGGACTTTGGATAATTCTTGAATAAAATATCTATTTGTAAGCGAATGGGACGATAAAGCTTTGCAATCTGTAATGGGATGTCGGCATTAGCGATGCGGCCACTCTTGATAGCTATAAGCTTTGTACGTAAACTCTATTCTACGAGGATACATGCTGTCGGTTCTCGTTTCAAAGGATTCTCAATTTAGAAAAGTGAATCGCAATTTAGTTATTCAATTGCCTTACACAAGCTTGGAAGACACATCAGTAACATCAGTGTGATTGGAGATTTCGGGAGGTTGAAATCACCATTCATTTGTGGGTATGGTAAGATTCTATTTGATACGTTGGTGATTAATGGTGGTTACCCTGATAATGCTTGAATATGTCTACGGTGACTACAGAAGCAAGATTGCTTTGGGAGGAAAGAACAAGATTAGTAGCTATACCATTATCAATAAACCTTTGTAATGTCCGAGCACTGGTGCGAGTAAACGTCGTCCTCCTACAACTCGTCTTTGTTGATTTCTAAAAATTCACAGGCAACCTGAGGAGAAAAAGCGATTTGCCACATTTTTGTCGCAAGTTCGAGGCCCAGTTCCTGAACTCAAGTTTCCTCAGAAGATTTCGCAGTAGCCTTTGTGCTCAAACTTTCTATACTGTAGTAGTTCATCATAAATATGTTCTGATTTTGTTCCGAGAGTTCTGCTCAACATTGACAAAGTCCTTTCTTCTGTTTGGTAGGTTTTAGTACTGAGGTATTATTCGATGGAGCAAACAGTCTATAAAAATTTCTCCAAGCATTCGCATAGAGTTTTCAGATGAACGTTAGAGTCGAATCAAGAACATCATGTAAAAACCTTTATTCTAAACTCAGACACGTACGTATCTATCTATTTAGACATTCCTGTCATGCTTTCTAGAAGCTCCAATGAAGGTTCAATTATGGGCTTCAAACCATGCGATAGCTGACGACAAGATTCGCGTTGTTGTATCTTGAAGTACCTCTTATCACAACGATATTCGAGATGGAAGTGAACCATGTGTTTGAGACCGACGAACAGCAAAGACTGAAATTAATTTCCATAATGGATGACTGCAAGAGATTCACTTCATTAGGTAAGGGGAAATTAATTTCGAAAATTTGTTATTTAAAATTTGATTTTTCTTATATTCGTCAAACGACTAACACTATACAAATAGTTACTCCACAATCTACAAGAAATTAGCGAGCCTTGATGTGCTTGAAAATTCAACAGTGCATGACTAGCAAGGGGTGTACTGATTTCGAAGGATGCTCAGCTTTACCGGAGGCACAGATAACTGTTTTTAGAGAGCAAGTTTTTGAGAGTGCGGTGCTGAATGTTTGCCAGATCTGGACATTTGAACGTTGATAATTTTTTTTTCAGAGAATGGCATCGCAAATATGAAAAGTAGATTTGGAATCAGCTCATCAAAGTGCATCTAATGATGCGGTTCATCGCAATTGGCCTCCTTAAGTTGGGATCGTTCCCTTGTTAGCTACGTAGCAGCTGCTGGGAGAGGATCTGAAGGATTCGATCCACGCAAATTTGGACACGCTGATTGCTCTGCTCGCGAACTCTGAACGGGATATGCTAGAGATTAGGATTGTAGCTTCCATACATCGGGGAGTAAAGCTTACAATTAGCCAACCGCTTAGCTAGGGCCTTCCGGCTCATTTGCTCAAACATCTAAAGAGAAGCACTCACAGCATTCCTGAGCGATCAAGATTGCCAGTATTCACTTCGAAACCCGCCCAATCGCAGCCCTCCCTACAGTAAGTATCCATCTTTTGTAACTGGAACTGTATCCGACGTCCTGCTGGCGCCTGCAAATACTTTATCTTTTTCATCACAAAAGAATTCACTTGCCCACTTTGATCTGCCAGTAGCATTCATACGGAGTGCTTCGGTACTGGTAATCATTTCCATTGCCAACACTAGCAGTGAAGGTGGAAAGTGACGTGGAGCTTGCCTGAGTTGTTTTGCAATGGCTTTTATGGACTATAGCTTTTTGAATTACCTGGACTATCCGTCCATTACAGGCCGAACCAGTGCCTTTCTGCACGGATTCGCAATAGTTGCCGCTGAAACCGCGTGGGCAGAGGCAAGTACTACAAGTCTTGGAGTTTACAATTCCGTTATTTTGACAACTTGGCTTGTAGCTACATCGAGCTGAAAAATAAACGGAGAAATGGAAATGAGGGAAAAGACTTACGAAACTTATCCATTACTATGTTTATGTGCTAAAACAGCATGTCATGAAATAAATAACTCCACCTGCTCTTAGAAATTAGACTCAGCATGCGTAAAATGACTAGTTTGCCTACACAAGGCATCCAGATATGTCTTTACTGTTTAATCGTTAACTCTCGCCTTACCACATTTTTGGACCTTGAGGTATTGTTGAGAAAAGCTGACTTCAGCTTAAATCAACAGAACAAATCAGATCGATCTCCGTTACTATAAATATGAGATGGGGTTTCCAATTGGCTTTTCACGCAAGAATCTTTGCTACAAAACAATTCTTGAAAATCTGGTTCCTGCACCTGCTCAGTCACACTTAAAAATTGAGCAAATTTGTAAGCATGCAAGCAGTTGAGCCAATCAGATCTTCAGAAAGTTTTTCGGAACGGCGGCAAAACTATGGTGATTTACCAGTGAATTACTAAATGTGACAAAGCTACTGTAATTTTACACCAAGAAGGACCGGTATTTTGAATCATATGAGAATCTAAGTGAATAATCATGCCTTACAAACTGATATTCAAAAACTTGAATACGTTGGAGAGAGTATCAACGATGAAAAAATACTGAATACGTACCTGCAAGACACTCTGTCAAGTCGTTCTGATATATTCAGTTCTCGTCGAATCCAAAATTTTTAGAGCAACATCTAAGACCTGACCTGTTTTTCTGCTTTTTGCTAATAGCTGTTTTCTAGTTGATAGTTTAGAAAGATACCGAAACATAGAGCTTCCGTCATATTGTAAGTTCTCACTAATTGAGCTAATTAAGTTTTTTTCGTGCTTCAAGCTAGCTTAGAGAGGCCATTCAGAATCTCATTTACAATACCGCCCACAGAACGTGCAAAATTTCCGTGAATGTCGCGTTTTTCCGAGAATTCCGCGGAAGTCGCGACATTCCCGGAATTCCGCGAAATTCCGGAAATTTCGCGAAATTCACGGAAAATTTGCACATTCGTGAGCGGTAATGTAAGCCCCTCCTCCTTCCGTATTTTGGTAATTGCCGTCTATCACTGATAAAACGTGCCAATATCCTATAGTAGACAAAATCACTCACATGCGCAATTGTATAGCAGATTCAGTTGTCTCACATCGTAGAAGGAGGGCGATTCTCGTTGTCCCATAATGTTCTGATAGTTGATATCCTTTGCAGTGATCGTTGGTATATTGTAGTTTATAGCAAACGAATCTATAACAGTTAGACAGGGAACTTCGAAGTACAGTTGAGTTAGATCTTACATGGATCATATTGCATAACGCTGCCATAGTCGTACGGTAACCCGTAATGGTTTGCAGTTTGATATGTGTGCTGGAAATAAGTTCATTTTTGAAATGTTCCCTTATATGTTTTATAAACGGTCAAAATCCGGCTCCTCCCTAGAAGAGCGCTTTTTTGGTTCAGATCTGAGTTCAGTCCAGCCTCTCGGTACTACAATGTTAGACACCTTTGCAAAAAACTTTTCAATACATGTTGGAGAGTACACATTTTTCATCTAACATGCCTGTAGTTTTACTGGAGACTGTAAGAGTAGCAGCAGGGTTCTTTCTATTGATCAAATCTCCTGGGAGGCAAATTTCGATGCTATTTGAATTTAACTTCACCTTATCAAAGTTGTATTGCTGTGATTGCTCGACATTAGCGAGGTTTACGTGACGTAACTGTCTCTGTCGTATCGTGACTGGGTGTGCCAGAAACCAAGTGCATGTCCGAGTTCATGGCAGATTATTCCAAACTGAATATCTTTCCAACATACTGGCAAATCAAAGGCTGAAACTGAACTCACATATTGACAGCCATTTCCGATTGAGACGTCTTGACTAGTCCATGCATATTGTTTGCCAACATATGACCAGCATCCACTACCCTTATAGATGCGAAGACGATTTTTCCCATTGGCGTTCAGCTGAAAAAAATTGAAAGGACATGTGGTAGGTCTTTCCCAAATTTCGATTGTTAGGAGAAGGGCTGGCTTGATAGTGCCATTTCGTAATAACATAGTCACTAACCCCCATCACTTTTGAATATCTATTTTGCAATCCCTTTTGCTGCGCAAAATCGGTAGTATCGAGCCAGAAAGGGAACTATGCAAAAATATTCATAATCTCGCTATAAATTTTCTTCATGAGAGGTTTGATGCCTGGAACAAGTCATAAAACTTCCACAGTTTCGGAAGGCTGCTTCTAGTGTTCAGACAAACTTGTAGGTCACATAGGAAGTTTTAGGGTAAGAAAGCTTCTGCACATCCATAAAAGCCTTTCAGGATTCTCAGCTTCTGCACATCCATAAAAGCCTTTCAGGATTCTCAGCGCTCCTACTGGATTAAACTAAGTGTAACAAATGAACAGATTACCGTAAATGTAAGGCACGAGTGCTCGGTCCAGTACTGAATAGCCTGATTTATTAGAGATGTGTACGAGGCTGAAAGGAAACTTTATATTAATGAATCTCAAGACCAGAGATAATACTCACATAGCGAGGAATCAATATAATATGCTATGGGCTCGTTTGGGCTCCACATAGCTTGCTGATCAGTTTGGGCTTGCCTCTTCCTCCTTTCGGTAGAATTATCCGACTCTGATCCTGAGTTTGCATTTCATTTTTGGTAAATCTCCCATGCAAACTATACCCGATTCTTCGGATTCCTCATTAGTTCTTGTAGCAAGTAGCTCTTCTATCTGCTCAGGATTTAGAATCATGTCTCCTTCAAAGGCGACCGCCCTTATGCGTTTGTCAGCCTCCGGTGGTATAGTGTGATTAGTGTCGCGAGGACCCACAGCCGCTCGAAAACTCTTCTGAAGATATTAGAAGTGAATTCAGGGGATTCTGCAGGGAGAGGTAATAACAATTCTCGAGTAGTACAAACCTCATCGAAACGATGCCCTTTACCGCGACGTTTACCTCCTCTACCTCTTCGCGCATGAACAAGCTCCATACGCCTTGCGATCTGAACGAAGGTGTAGCTTTCTCGTCACAAAATCCACATAGAAAACATCAAGGACCTTCCTTATCAGTTCCTTTGTTGGTCCCAAAGTTGCGTTTGTGTTAGTGCTGTTGGTGAGCAACTCTGCGCTAGCCTGCAAATTAATTCTTAATGTTTAGAGGAGGGCATACCGCGTAATCTCACCTCATCAATTGCATTTTCGTCGACTGCCACAGCGATGCACCATAAAGCGACCGCTAAAATCCATAGAAGCATCGACGCGGTCAATTCTCATCTCTAAAGACCGCTTTTATCCAATCCGAGTTGTTGTTATTTACCCCATGTCCGCTTTCGGGGAATAATATTGGAGAATATTGTTAAGGATGATTGTCAAAGTCCCTTTTGTTTGGGTCCATAGCCGGGGCAGAGTGGACAACCGCATTATGATTTGCACATTTCCACCTGTAAAGCTATAGAGCATAATTTTTGTTATTCCCATCAGTACAAAGCAAAGCGAATACCGGTCAGAAATAAGCGAAATAAGTTCCGAAGCTTTCACTTTTTTGCCTTCATTGGGAAAAGCCACTTAACATGAAAACTTTTACTATTGATTATTTCAGTGGTATTTGATAAAAGTGGACGACCGATGATATTTAAGATGCAATGTGTTCACTTTCAACCAAGCGACTAGGGACAGTGTGTGGGCATTGTAATAATAAAACTATCTGTTTCTCCATGAGAATTTGTATTCAGCTCAAAGGCAAGGCATGGCTCACCCAAATCGCGTCATCCATATTTCTGTCATTGTAGGGCCTTTCGCGGCCTTGATTATAGATGTGAAGTGCAATAACATATCTGTAATCAATACAGTGCAATACAAATCCCCAAAAAACCTGATTTCTGGGAGCCCTGCCCTGAAGGAACAGACTTTCACTTCCTGGGTGGGAGGAGCTTGATAGAGCGAGCGTGGCTCAATGGCACTTTCGCGGGTTCCTGGTCCATTTTTTTCCATTGAGAGGCCACATCAGAAGACCGGACCAATGCAGATGTTCTACTCTTAGAGTATTCTTGTAGACTCGTCACTAATCGGGGGAACATGGATTTTGCCTGGACGCTTTAAAGCTTAGCGAAAATTTAAACAACCAACTGCTGCAAATCTTATCTTGTCAACCATAATGACAGATAACCTGTGCGTTGTCCACAAAGTGAGAAATCTCGTCTACTTACTAGCACTAAGAATTTCTTTACGCTCTCACTTATTGTTAGCACAGCTTTACAATGCTTGACTGATACTCATAAAATTGTATTAACTTGTACCAATCGAACTCCAGAGGTGATTATAGCTGAATGCCGGTCAAAATTTAGATAAAGGCTGCTGCTTGATTAGAAGAGCCATGGAAATGATGCAAGAATTCTGCTGTGCACAATGATTTTGATAGAAATGTTTTCATTTACGTTGTTGATCAACAACAAGATTGTCGATTTTGGAGCTTGCAATAAAGTAGGGATCATTTTGCAGACTCTTTTGCCCAGCCGTTGTACTCATTACTAACATTATGGTGCTTCAATGTGACATTCGCACCATTATCCACCCTGAACTATTGTATTCAGGTGCATTTGACAACAATGGTCCTTCCCACCGGTGAGGACACACCAGTGCCAAAACAAATGGTGATTCGTAATACCACGAAACAAGATATTGTGCTAAAAGTGGGACGAGACACTTTTTTCAAAGCTTGCTCATGGTATTTGCTCAGTCTGAGATCTTCAGATCAAAACTGATGCACCCAGAGGACTGCAGTTTGAAGCTGAGAAGATTGTAGTCGACTCCAGAAAATACGTTATTGTTAATATGATATTCAACGAGAAAGAGCTCAATTCTTCTACAAGAGTATGTTTCAAGCAAAATTCTTACTCGGACGAGTTTACTGTTGAGAAAATCTTGAATTTTTGCAGGGAACAGCATCAATGATTTACGTCTATGCAAGACCAGTGACAAAATACAATCAAGAGTGCCTTCGACGATGGTTGACAGTGGAGAACTGTGAAACGACAGCTCAGCTAGCATTCTGTATCCAGCTATATCTGACAAACGCCGAGTTCTCAGCGAGCAAATTGATTCTGGACCTGCCCGGCTCCGCTTCACTGATAGACCCGGTCCCAAACGCCATTGAAGCGCCGCTTGACACCGACTGCGTCACAAGTATTAACATCGATGCTGGTGGGTGTAAGCCCTGGCATTTTGGAAGACACCGACTGCGTCGCCCTTTGCATTTGTGTAATTGCAGACACAAACACTGGCACCGTCTTCGATGACAAAGATTACAGAAGTGCACTCAGAATTCAAGACGAAAACAAATCGAGGTTAGTGATGCTAGTGTGAAATACAAAATAATGAGATGAAGCAAGAGGTTGAAGGTCTTTCTTATTCCTCATGAAGTCGTAGAGGAATGAGCTAGAGGTCATCTAATGTTCTAAATAATAATTTTTGCGAGTCTCAAATTTGCAGCTCACAGTGCGTACACTCAAAGATTCTATCAGAAAGATTGTAAAAAGCAGGCTGATGATCAGTTCGAATTTGCGGCTTCATCCCTCAGGCCGAGTTCGGAGTTACCACTGTGCCGCCGCCGTGCCAACATCGTAGCACCGTGCCAGCACTGTGCCGAATTAACATGCAACCAGTGAAGATTTCGTTGAAGTGGATTCCGACACGGTGCTGGAATGACGCTAGCACTGTGCCGGCACGCGGGCAAATTTGAAAGCTGTCTCAATTTGACCCTATGATACTCCTCTTTCCAGGTGTGCCGTGCTGGCTCCTATTATGGACATGATTTTCCCACCAGCAGCACAGCCTACGCATGTATGATGATGATTACTGCATCAATAAAAATTGATAAATTATTCAGTGTATGTTCATAATTATACAAGATTCCCATGAGGGGCTTGAAAAAGTGCCACAAACGCGAGAGGCTCAGATTTTACTTTAAAACAGCTGTACAGGGTGTCCCAAAAGTCCTTAAGCCTAACTTTTCAACGTAGTAACTTTGTTAGTATTCCTCGCTTTTCAGCCAAATTTTGCCTTTGAGTTCTTCGTCTAGTTGCCAATATTCGTCAAGAAAATCATACCGTTTACAATGTACATTCTCGAGATATACTTCTTGAAGCGAACAATACTACAATCGTGAAGACAAGCCGAAGGAAACGCACCTTCTATTCAAATATTTACAGCTCTTTTGCCTTTGGAGCTCTTATGGACTTTCAAACTGCATATTGTAGAGCTAGCTTCACTCTACATTTACAGTACAAAATCAATCAATAGCCTTCGTTCATTAGAGTAGGATTAGGATACAAACACTGAAGTTGTGCCGTGCCAATGAGAAGGAAAAGTTCTCGGAAACAAAAACCTGGAAAAGCTGGAAAGTCCAGCACCGAATCAGCTTCAGTCACTAATTCTAGCTGTAAGCCCTGCATTTCCTACTGAAATACCACTTTAAAGTCACTCCCGGTACACCATAATGGCTGTTTTCTTGGTGTTCTCAAACATTTGAATGCTACATTTTGACACTTTTGTCAAATCTCACAGTTATGCTTCTCAGATTTACGTGCCTTCAATAGCCGGGTCAAGAGGCCCTTGACTTTTCTTTGTGATCAGTAATGGAAAACAAGGTTTGCTCTATTCCACGCTAAATTTTGGACAGTCTGGATTGCTTGCTTCAGAAGATGTGAGACAATCTCGATGTCAACTACCTGGCTGCCATGGTGCATGCATTCCGCAAGTGTCTGAGAGCCTGTGTAAAGGCCAAAGGAGGGTTTTGAGAAATCTGAGTGCATCATGTTGTTTTGTAGGCTCTTCGCAAATTCCCTGCTGAATTTCATGCTTCTATGTTGCTTCATGCATTTTCAGCGGAGGAAATACTAGGCTCAAAGACTTTTGGGACACCCTGTAGTACAGTACAGTAGCTTGGCTACAGTCTTACTATCTTGCTCATTTTGCAGCTACGCAAATGCTAATCTGAAGATCACTGGAGATCAAATTCATGTTCAAAAATCTGGTCTTACCTCAGTTTTTACGCAGCTATTTAGAAGTTGTCGCCTTCCACAACTTATATTCTAAAACAGGCTGTACACACATGTGTTGCCAGCGGAATCCTCAGGCGCGGCAAAAGCTTGCGAGATAAGATTTTGCGACTGGTCTTGCATAGTGATGCTCGATCCCCACGGGCTTTTCGGAATAGTTCTTCCTTGATATATATTCCAGTCACGCGCTTTTGTTCTGACCTTTGACAAACTTATTCCCCGAGACTCCAATAAGTTCCCAGTTCCAACGCTGGTTACTTCCACGGAATGGGTTACACAGATAAGAGAAGCAAGTTTGAAATCAGAATCGAACGTTTGAGGAATCTTCCAAGGCACATTTCTTTTGAGTTTCTTCTTGTTTCCTTTTGTTAGCAACTTTCCCTTTGGTATCCTTTCAAGACAGCGATGTCAAAAATACTAACTTTTATGTGACGCTCTCTCGTTACTTGGGTTATTCGATACTCTACACTACATAGGTGTTTCCATTAGGTTGGAGCAAAACTAATGAGCGTTCCATTTGCAATAGCCGCGGTGTAAATATAAGAATGTTTAGAGATTACTCTCTTATAGAGTAAGGCAACTACAAGACAGCTACCAAACTTTCTCAGAAAATCTAACTCAAGTTGAAAGCCAAAATTTGAAAAAATTTGCTTACCCAAAAAATCAGATCTCCGCAGAGAAAACTTTGCAAACCTCCCAACTCATGTAGTAAACACATAAATAAAAACCTGGGTGTATTTTTGAAGGCTAAAGTCAACAAAAAACTAAAATAAAATGTCAGCTTTTTTGGCTTTTTTGTGCTAACAATAAGTGGGTTATATTGGATTGTCCCTAAGGCTCTGTTTTTTTCATCGACACCAGAAGTCATGAAACGCCTATCTATGGAAGACTAAGGCGTCGTTTGCTTCAGATTTTTATCCCCTTTCTTATAGCTATATTTTCTATCTGATCCATCCTGTCTTTGCGATGTTATCGAAAATGGATCTTTGAGCAGTCCGCCCCGGTAACACAAATCTTCCCAGGATTTTGATAAGATGATGTCGTAACATTTTCGAAAAGCGCTGGTGGTCTTTATGTAGGTTAACCTTTGGCTACATCATATTACTTTCCGATCGTTTAGGTACGTTCATGAAGTCGGCAATAATTCATGCTTGAGAAAAACCGTGTTTTTTCTATCACTTTTAGCGCACAGGAGTACCGACCAATACAAAAAGCTGTTTCATCAAGGTAAATCGGATTTGATTATGTTGCACAAACGATGTTTAGTAATCATCAAATCTAATTTCGAAGAAGCTCTTAGAGCTATCATGTTTTTGCTGCAATTGCATGTTCCATTATACCAAAAATAAAGATTTAGAAAAAACAATAGTTGAGCACAACTGATCATGAAAACCAAAAACACCACCTATAACCCAAGATTTGCTCTATCTATATTTAAATCTTTCTAAAACTTTGGAATACTTTAAAAATTAGCAGAATTTTGAACAGCAACCGTTAAATTTTGCTCTGAAATTTTCCTCGGCTCAGAACTTCTAGAAGTTATGTTACAAAATAATAATAATTTACATTATGTTACAAAATGCATATTAAATAATATGCATTTTGTAACATAACCTGAAATTTGCAGAAAATTCCGATTTTTTATGGTGGTTTTAGAGCCAAGTAAATCACAAGAAAAAATTTCAAGATTTGGTCTCGTAATTTCACAAGCTAGGAATTGACGAACTCACTTCATTTGAAACGAACGAAGAAACGAAAGAACGAAAAGAAACTAGAACAAAAGAGCTTTCAGACGATATGTGAAACACTCTAGAAAAAATGTTTGTTCTAAACCATCGTTGCAAGAAAAATGCGCGGAACCTGCATCTATTCTGTTACAACCTAGTATTTTGATGATTAAGCATTGTGTTTGCCAATTTTCGGCCATTATTTTTTCTCAATTTACTTCAGACTACAGGAGGATTCGATTTACGCTGATATGTGATAGTCACTTTGTAGGCTTCGCTTTACCGAACCCATGAACTTCCTTGTATTCACACTGCGGCTTCAGCAGAAGAAACATTTATTATGCACTGATCTAGCAAACGTGTTAAAAATTGTTTGATTTGTGGTTAAACTGGAACCCTTTTTCGAAAACATTTTCTATTTTTCTTCCTGAAAATTGTGGATATATGGTTGTTTTGGCGCTTCTTACTAAAAATATAATTTATTCTTTCAAGAAATTTTTTGCTCCCATATTTGGAACTTTTCCGCTGGTCAGGGGAGTGAAATTGTGTGACGGATCATTTAAATGTTTGTAGTGGATTAAACCAATATCAAATAAAGTCGTTCTGTCCCCAGTTCTAAAAAGAGCGAGTACGATTTTCCGTAACATTTCCAAATTTCCAACTGTTTCGATAATAGTTACAAATTTTTATGATTGTTGCAAAAAAGAGGATCATGAAGGCACATGGACCCGAAACTTAAGCATCAAACATGTTGCGAAGACATCAGATGATAAAAAAAATATCATACAAGTTGAATAAGAAATTGAATGTGATACATAACACATGATGTGCAGAATTAACGGTTTCTTAGGAAAACAGAGAAGAGATCATTGAAAGGACAAATATAATCTCACCTGCTGATTTTTTCAATGTGATCGCCGTTTATAAAAACGGTATGGTTCTAAACAAATCTACTATGGCTCTTGAACAGAACACAACCAATAAGATTTCTAAGGATTTCGCACGTAAAATATATTTGGAAAACTACCCTTTGATTCAACTGGCTTGACGGCTAAAAGGCAGGGCTTCGTGAGTGAATTAAAGGCAGTGGCTCGGCAAATCTCAACCTAGTCAAATTTGCGCTTATCTGGGGTTTTAATACGTTGATCCCGAAAATCCACTTTTGAAAGTTTGAAAACGGCGAAAATGAGCGTTTTTTATGCCCTTCCCTTTGATATTGGACGAGTGGAGCAAGGCCGATGACGCTGAATCGTGGCAGGACCCAATAGTTATAGCGTTGCAGCGGGCAGCCGCCAGTGGTGAGAAGGAAATTGCCAACTCGTCCAGATATGTAAGTGCAAGATTGGCCTGCGCGTGTAAGACTGAGAGCGATTTTCTCGGCAGAGAAAGCATGCTATGCAACCGGGATTGCATTGTTTTCGTAGTTGGGCGATAAGGAACCTACCGCGTTGAAACCCCGAGTTGTTGGATTTTGCCGATCTACTGCCTTTAAGGCTGTAATGCACGCGCGCGTGAGAACGCAAACTGCGTCGCGGGCGCGAGCGGCCTTAATTAAGTCAAAAAGCCCAGCCTTCCAGCCGCCAAGTCACTTATATCAAAAGTTACAAAGCAAATGCATAGCAAACAAGACCTCATTACCTTACCCGTACACATATTAGCATATTAGTATCTTCAATTGTGTGCTTCTAATCCTGCATCATCAGACTCACGCTTCTGCTTAATTTTCGCCCTTTGCTCTTGAACAACCGACTGCCTTTTCTGAATGTGGCAGTTAGCAAACGATTCACTTATTTCAACTTCCAAACGCATTACGATTGTCGTCTCCGCGGCACACATTCCATCCTTTTCAGCAAGCGTCTACTTCTTATAGTTACCTGGAATCAGGGTATGCAAGGACTTGAAACGCCAAATGGGGAGAAAGCGGTCACTGCAGTGTACTAAATCTAACTCTTCTGATTCACAAGGTATCCCAAAAATGTGTCTCTCTGTGTCCCACGCAGTCTTTTCTCGATGTTCGGACATCCTCGAATCATTCGACTTAATATGCGATTCTGCTGACTATGCGCTGCGGCTGACGGCATCCTACTGGTAACTCCTGACTAAAACCTTTTTTGCGTAAGAAACTGAAGATGTGTTTTACCAACTAATGCATCGATCAAATCAAAAGAGGCAAATAAGGAGAAATCAGTGGGAGCAGGTCCTCATCTTACACTTCGTCTAGTAGTGAGCATGGTGTACAATACGTATATCAAGTTACGAATGACTCGACGATACGCCTATGTTAGGCCTCGGGCAGAGTTCACGCGATTTGATCGTTGTGATTCAATTACTTCAAGACAATATACATAAATATGTAGACTATGCGATAATCGGCTTTCTTGAGCAAGTTGGAAGCCTCCTTTTAGATAAAAATCCGATCTTTGAAAATTTGTTTTGTGAAGCTTGCTTTGTTGTATCGATTGATAAACTTCATAATTTCTATACATTCGCAGCTTCGGCAGGGCAAGGTACGCGTATTAATCATGCATCAATCTATCATAATAAACATGTATATGAAAAAGGCCTTGTCGGAGTTGACTTTCATCGTCAGATTTAGATTTTGTTTAGATTGGCGGCGATACGACGCGGACTTGCGAGCCCGTGGTTCATTTTCACGGACTACGAGCGCTATTGTAACTAGATGTAGAAGAATTTGGAGTCTCTGCCAAAAAGACTTTCTGAACTTCGCATTCACCTTTTGATTTATAAAAACTCTTAAATGCATACAAAATACTTAGTGTACCCCTTGATTACAGGATTGGCGCTGGGAGCGGGGCTTCGTGACCTAGTCTTGGCTAATGATCAGAGAGTGCGCGAGAGATACACTCTCGCGGGCGGAAGCGGCTTTAATTAGGTCACAAAGCCCCGCCTTCTAGCCGCCAATCTATTTGAATAACAGGTTATATCTTTAGAGGCACGTATTAAATGTCCAAACATTTCAAAGGACTTTTGAGTTTTTGACACTAAAGATGGATAACCTTATATCCCAGCGCAGCATTAACTTGTAGCATAATGAGTGAACCACTTAGTCTGACCGTTCCTTCACATTAGAATTACGAATACAGCAAACCCTTCTTAAGTTACCAGTTAACTCAACCTTCATTCTGCGAGGAAGGTTATAGGTGTATAAGAACGACAGTGAAGGATCGAATGTTGCAAGGAAAAAGAAGAGTGTAAAGTAAACCAACCTCGAGAGCAATGGCACCAGCGACGCATTCGAATACACCATAAATGCTGGCATAGAAGTAGGTTCTAATGAGTTTCGGCGAAAAAAGTATAACGACAGAAACTGAAAGTGATATTTTGAGTCGAAAAATACCACTATATCTAACCACTTACATGTTCCGAGTACCAGCATACGAAACAGTTTAGCTAATATGTAGGGAGTAAGGTATCTGACTTGTTTCCTCCCCAAAGCCCGAGAATGAACAAAATATAGAGATACAGCGATGAAGAAGCCGGAGACGAGGAAGAAAGCGAATATACTTCCAGAAAAGATTAAGATACCTGAAAAATTTGTGCATGCATATACAGGGAGCAGCAAAAGTCTGAGAGCTAGTACATTTCCAGATAAAATCAGAAGGAAAGCACCTAAAAACAAAAGTTTGATGCACATATAATTCGAACCTTTACAAATACAGCGCCGCTACAAATTTTGAGATTGCCTCTTTTGGCTTCAAAGCAGACCCTCTGAAATCTTGGGGAGTCCAACTATGAAGAAAATTTTTTGCAATATTTAGGAAAAATTTTTCTGTTGAAATTTTGAGTGAAGGCAAGTGTAATCGCATACAGAGATTTTGGATGCGATTGCGCGAACGGAAGCAAAACACTATTTAGAGAGTACTGGGATCTCTCCATCGACCTTCAGTAGATGCCTATATAGAAGGCTTAGGGAAAGAATATAACCTAAAACTCAGTGCCTGCTGAACTTTTATAGCTTTCAAAAATATTTTAAAAACAGCCACTGGCACGCAAATAACATTGCAGGTTCTTTATTTTGAGTTTTCGAAAAAACGGTTTCTGGCAAATGCAATTATACACTGAGAAGCGCAAAGCCTTCTCTACACGGTATGCACGAAGTGTTGTAGAAAATTTACAGTGTCTCTAGCCACAAACTAAACTGTAGATACTAAAAATTTTGACTTCGTCCCTCTATAGAAGCACTTTTTCGATGATTTCAATTCTTACAAACAGATATAGCAGGTTGTTATTAGCTAGGTAAAATGTATTTGTAAAGGATGATAACAGCATCATGTGGCATGAACTTGGAACCAGAATCATCAGTAGGTTCGAAATTTACAACACTGCAAAGTCGGTTCCCAGACTTTTACCATATCCTTACATACAGGGTGTCCAAAAAGATGTACACACTGTTTGATCGTTAATAACTCTCCTGTTTTCATGTCTTTTGCCGAGCTTAAGGTGTCATTCTGTAGAGCGAGGTTCAACTTAGATTTGCTTATGAAGCGAATGATCGATGGCTTTTCATCACTGTAAGATTAGGTAGGAACTTCGAGGAGGAATTTAACCATTGAAAGCGGTATTCTGCCGGCATTTTATTTACTTATTGATACACTGTTGTGCACTGTGCGCCAGTACAAAGACACGAATGCAACGACAGACAAAGACAGTAATGAAACGAAATTGTGACATGCTCAACACACTAGAGAAATTAAGGAGAGTAATTCTCTAAACCACGTGCTCGTCAGTGTTATCTTTAAAGTCAGTGTCGTGGGGGCTGAACTTGGTATAAGTACAAGTCCAAGTACGATGCGTGACGGTATAGATATATACGGTCACTTTCGAGCGAAGAAAGGGGGATGTCAACCTGGGCGAATCAGCGAAATCATGCGTACCCGGCGGGCAGGAAACCTCGTTCGGCTTACCCCAACAACGCTAACATTCTGTGAATGTTTTTGTTAACCCATTGACGACAATGTGGACCACCGGTGGCCCATGCACTTTTTGCCGCCGGGGACGATGTGGACCAGCGGTGGAACACATGCCATTACAAAATCATATCATTCCCAGGTCTAGTATTTTTTCCACAGTTTGGCATTTTTTCCAATTTTTTGCGCTCTTGGAACCTGTAGTCTTCTTGGTCCAAGAAGATAATTACAGTTGTTTGAATAACAACTTTACATTTCAAAAATTATCACAAAATTTTGACACGACAAAAATGTTGTGCAAACTCGCGTCGTTCCAAAGGGCCACGCAAAACTAGGCGTCGTCGTCAATGGGTTAAAAACAACATCCCATAAGTTAAGAAAAAAGTGGGTTTTGAAAGGCTCAACTCTTTTCGCATCAGACAGATCAGCACTGCAAATAGCCATCCAGAGCTAAAACTCGAGTGCCTTGTTAATTTTACGTTCGGATTGCAGTGGTCTCAATAGCTAGACAGAAGTACAACTGATCTTATATATAAAGCTGAATGTCTGTTTGTCTGTCTGTTTGTCTGTCTGTCTGTCTGTATGTCTGTATGTCTGTCTGTACGTATGTTCCGAATAGAAAATTCCATTTCTGAACCGATCCGGACCAAACTTGGCACACATACACTACGGGCCCCGGCGGGTGTCATAGGCTACTTTTCGTCATCGATCGATATCGATTTTATCGATTTTTATCGATTTTTTTGCTGAGTTCACCTACGGGGCTGGGAGTTGGCACAGGGGGGTAATCGAGCATGGGGATTCCGAATACAATATTGGTTTTCAGGATTATCGATTACTTTTATCGATTTTATCGATTTTTTTGCAAAGTTTGAGCTAGGGGGCTGGGAGTTGGCACAGGGGGGTAATCGAGCATGCTGATCATCCCCAAGGGGGGTGATCAGCATGCTCGATTACACCCCCTGCCAAATTCCAGCCCCTAGCTCAAATTTTCAAAAAATCGATAAAATCGAAAAAGTAATGGACGATCCTGAAAACTAATATTGTGTTCGTAATCTGCATGCTCGATTACCCCCCTGTGCAAACTCCCAGCCCCGCAGGTCAAACTTTACAAAAAATCGATAAAATCGATAAAAGTAATGGACGATCCTGAAAACTAATATTGTGTTCGTAAACAGCATGCTCGATTACCCCCCTGTGCAAACTCCCAGCCCCGCAGGTCAAACTTTACAAAAAAATCGATAAAAATCGGTAAAATCGACATCGATCGATAACGAAAAGTGGACTGTGACACCCGCCGGGGCCCGAAGTGTATGTGTGCCAAGTTTGGTCCGGATACGGCGGAGCCGGGTAAGCCAGCTAGTTGTATATAATGCACATTTGCTTGCTTCTCAATACAGAGACTCGTCGATTTTTCGAGAAGCACAGACTATTTCTTCTTCCATGAGCAGTCGTTAAGTGAAAAATACTCAGAAATTTATATAATTTATGCACCATTTTTCTAAAAACAAAGAATTACAAACTGAACCACTCACCTATATCCAGCTTTCGTAGGCACGCATGTAGGAAGACATTGGCGCTGATAAGTAGAGGAGCTGATATCCACGCTAATTCCTCAAAACAGAGATCATCGTTTGTGAATGGGAAAGGGCAATTCTATGTGAGGAATCCTCACATATCATGTTCAAGAGCTAGCAAATGAAGCTAAATACAAAAGTGGGGGAAGCGCCCATGAAAAATATCATATGTAGATTTATATTTTCTCACAGAACCGCACACCTCTTTCAAGGGACTCTTCTTGTGATAATGGAGAAACACCATCTATTCGGTGAAGAAAACATGTCTGAATTTTGAGACATAGAACCAACTCTTACCACGAATTTTGAATTTTTCGTTTAAAAGTTGGATGTTTAACGAATTTGAATCATAGACATACCACTTATATAAAAAGAACACTCACTTGTAAATAGATGATAACAAAGGCGGTATGCAGACTTGTAGTCTCTGGGTCTATCATCGCATGATGTTCGAAAGACTGGGCCAGATCAGAGATTAGAAGCTGAAAGAGTAAAAATGACTCGAGCGGTATGATTGATGACACCAGAGCCGAAATGACACGCGAATGCAAATGAAGATGATCGCTTTCCAAGAAAATAAAAATAGCCATAGCAACCTCCAAATGCTTTGCGGACTTCTTTTCATGACAAAAGTTGAATGCAAAAGTAAACCTCAGTTCTTTGGAAGATATAAGCTAACGATGTAATCTGAGATGAGGAGATCCGAGATTGTGTAGAATATTGCATTTGGAGTTTCACGAGTTCATAACCTAGCAACGGATCGTATGGGTTTTTTTCTATGGATAAATTAGACGCTTTCTATGGAGAAGAATCTAGCACGAAAGCCGTAGGTGGGCAGATAAGCTTGGATTTCTTTAATATTTGATGCAAGATTCACCTCCGCAATCAAAACAATGGAATTTCCCCATGCTGATATGCACCTGTGGTCATATAATGAAATTGATTGAATTTTTGTAAATTTTTCAAGCACGAAAAACTTCACTCAAAGACGTTTTCGAGAGTGCTGATCACGAATGTGTGGTTGGCTGAAATGCTAGCAATGAAATTACGATAGTAACACCCACGTGCTTGAATGCGGAGATAGGCTGTTGAAGAGTTGCAGTATACGGTATCGTTATGGTAAGAAGAACGCAATAGCCGTAATCATAGTCACAAGTGAATCGATAGCAAACAGCTATTTCACAATAAATATTACGATAATATTAGTACCATTAAATTTCAATACTATGAAACAACCACATATTCTTATCTTATTAAAGCAGCAAATGAGTAAAAAATCATAAATCAACAAAACCGAGAACATTTTGAGCTCGTTTCTCTAAACGATTCCCTAAAAATTCATCGTTTCTTTCAGATGAAATACGAGCTGTATGTGATGTATCAGACCACATTGAGAGAAGTTCTTCAGAACTTTTCAGTCGGAAAGACAAAAACGATGTCAGTTATCTACGCCCTCAGACAAATCACCGGAACTTCCGCAATCAAGCGAAATTTGCAGCGGTTCCGCAGGGTTTTGTTACTATCGCAAAAGTGGAAACATAAAAACGGAAACATTGATAATGGGAACTTCCGCAGAATTTTCACGTCAAACTGGTTGAAAACGGAAACTTCCGCAGGGCTATTTACAAAACCTACGGAACTTCCGCAAAATGTCAGCGGTTCCGCAACACTTTGACATGCCAGTACTTCCGCAGGGTTTTGAATGTAATATCTCGTACGATGTTGCCTCGCCAACAACTAGAGTGCATTGCCGAACATGTCATCCGTAGTGCAGAGAGTAGTACATAGGTGAGTCTCGCGGTCAATAGAGCCGCAGGTGACCAGGCTGAACTTTCCCAAACGTTCTGCGAAAGTTCTGGTCAGCTGTCTGAGTCTTTGTCAGAACCACAGCTTCAGGAATCCATGCAAGTTTAATGTTTCAAAGGCAACCCTGAATTGAGTGTGATAGAGAACTAACTATTGCTTTAGCCTAAATGGTATGGTAAATCATAAGAAGATTAATCCAAGAAGGTCAAGAACCATGTTCCTACTGATGGCTGTGCTCACATTGTCCTCACTTGTGTCCCTCCATCTTTTTGCATCCTCACGGAGAATGAAAACAGAGACTATGTTGCCTGTTGATTAGCGCACAAATAAAATATTGTAGAACTTCAAACCTAGGCAAGCTTTCTGGGTGGAATTAATTGCAGTATTTTTTTTCTCCTTTGAAGGAGGGGGGGGGGGGTGGGTGGGTTCGAGCTGGGTCGAAAGCAGGTTGAAGGGATACGAAATGCAAAAACGGGAAAAACTCAAACAGTAAAGAGTAGAACATTGGCTGCAGCCGTCAAACTTCGCAGTTCAAAGTTCTCCACTATTCCAAAGCTCAAGAAGGGCAACATAGCGCAGATTTGATATCATTGAGAGCATCGCTGCATTCGTCGAGAACCGTTTTTACAAACTGATCCTTTTCGGAACTGACTTCGCCGATCAAGAAAGGGAAATATAAAGAAAGTCGAACAAACGAAGCGAACGAACTAGCAATAATAAGAGCAATAAAAAGAAGCAGAAACAAGAGTTTTGGGTTGCAGTGTAAACTAAGCGTCGATGCTAAACTATAATTTTGAGCAGAGGGTGTTGCCCCTGCAGTGTTTCTCACCTAGGTGACAACAATTTTAATCCAAGAGATGATGGATTGTCTAGCTTTGCCACAGTGTAAACAAGATGTTTTTGTTTCAGAGACTTGAAGTATGTGTAATGGGTGTGAATGATGATGAGGTTGGCTCGAAGAGTGCAGGTCAATTAGTTTCCCCCTCCGGAAATGGAAGTCCTCTTGAAGTGAGCAAGCGCATAATCCCAAGATCAAACGCTGGAGAGCAGCATGATCGGGAACGCGTCTCGGGTTCAAACGGGGGAGAGCAAAGGCTCAGTTATTGGCTCAGTTCAAGCGCTACTGATCGTGGCCAATTCACACACCGATCGCACACCCACACACTCGGTCTAGTAGTTATCGTTCTGGGAGCTCAAAAAAAGTCTGGGATGAGTGGGCGATTACTCTCTGAGATGAGAAGTTTGGGATGTTTATCGAAACACTTACTTTGAGAGCAATGTCGGAAAAAGCCAAATGTCCCCTAGGAAAAAAGAATTGTCATGGATATGAATTTTTTCAAGTGCTCGACAATTACTTGGATATCAAAACTAATATTTTTGCATTGATAAAAGGCCCAAGTATCACGTACAAGTATCAGGTATGATATGAACTTTGCTAAAGTAACAAATGTGTCATAAATTCACATTGTTATGCAAAATCAGTACCTAACCGTACCTTACTGCATGGAAAAATAAGTGCAATACTTTGCGTAATCTCCCAGATTTCTCGGCTATTCTTTAATTGTGTTATCTCAGAGCTAAAGCCTTGAAATTGCTCCCATACTAAACTTTGCAGTCAAAGAAACAGGGAAAAAATCCAAAAAGAAAGGAAAGTAAATCATGACAAAGTCGAGAAAAGTAGAAAAAGTAAAAGTTGTAATGTCTGTGAATTTGTCGAAGTATTGACAGAAGACGTGCTTTGCGATATGGGAGATCACGTTTTTCTACGTTCTATGCACCTCAAGTGAGAGGTTTTGCAAAAGTTTCCAGGAGATCGCGGAGAAAAAAGAATGTAACACTCATTTCTACACACGTTGATTGAAGCGGTGACGCGTGGGGACTGCTTTCAGAGGAGGTGAAGCAAATCAGCTGTCTTTATAGTGCAAAACCGTCTAATGCGGATCAGTTATTAAGGTGTGGGTTGTTTTACGAGTAACGCCCGTTTCTGGTTTCCTTGGGGAGTGCTCGTTCAAAAGAGACATCATTTTATGTATAATTTCAACACCTACAAAAATGCAATTTTTCTCCTGGATTTTCAAGTATGTTTTCTATTATGCAACTCTTGAAGTAGCGTACCACAGAAGCGAAAGGAAAGTATCTAAAATCCTTATCTTCTGTTAGTCTTTCTTGGGCACTTCATAGAAAGTAGAATTTTTTCAAACTTCTGCAAGTTTGATGGAGACATGTGCTTAAATATTTTGATACAATTATAATCATATTGAAATTGTATTGAAATATGACTACTCACGAATATTCATAAAGATTTGTGAACCGAGAATGAAACGGTGATATTGAAGTTCATCAAATATTGCTGAAGGTTTGAATTTTGTAAGCTTTTCAGTTACGATCGCGAAGAATATTTGTGAAAAGGGTTGTAAAATCAATTCTGAGCTCTTAAGGGAGCCTTGTGAAAGCCTATATTCTTTTTGGATCCCACGAGTCTTAGAAACAAATCAGAAACTGAGAAAACGCTAAAAGATTATAATCTTATAATGGAAATCCGATACTTTCACGCCGTGGAGGGAAAGGAGAGAAGGAGGCGTACGCAAAAGCATTATTACTTAAGTAAATGGCTAACGTTAAGGGGAAGGGCTACGCTTAGCTTATACTTAGCCATTCAGATGATAAGTGCGGCGTCCTTATGTAATATGCATTACCTGCGATTAGGAAGTATTAGGTGGGTGCAAAAGTTCTTTCGCCAGTTTTCAAAATACTATAACTTCCTTTTAACTCGATGGATTTCTTTGATTTTACATATATATGAAAGAGAAAACCACTCCTTTAGCCCATTGACGACGATGTGGACCACCGGTGGCCTACGCACTTTCTGCCGCCAGGGACGATGTGGACCGCCGGTGGCCCACACACCCAACGAAATCATATTTTTTCCAGGTCTAGTATTTTTCCCAGAGTTCACCATTTTTTCCAGTTTTTTCGCGCTCTTGGAACCTATAGACTTCGTCATTCAAGAAGATGGCTGTAGTTGTTTACGAAACATTTTTACACCTCGTAAATAATCACAAAACTTTCCCGCGCCGCAAGTGTTGTGCAAAATCGCGTCGTCCCACAGTGCCGCCACGCAGAATTAGGCGTCGTCGTCAATGGGCTAAAGCAGTTCCTTTAACATGTGTTGACCTGAGAAAGTTCGAGAGTCAAGAGCAGTTGAAGAAAATTACACAAAATTGGCATTTTCATGCAGGTTCACAGAAAACTCTAGAAATATTTTTGTTTGATAGGGAAAATTATGTATTCTACTATAGTACCTCTCCCATGGATCAAAACGAGAAAGATCGAGAAATAGAATCAAATAAAAAGAATCACTTCAGTTTTGCAGTTTTTGAACATGCTCAAAAAGCCCAAAAACGTCATAGCAGAGACCGAAACGGTCATAAACATGGATTTTGCGGCCTTCTCTTTCTAGCTGAGCGAAAACTGTGCTAATCAAAAGCAATTTTGATCTTCGTAATATCGACAAATCTTCAGGTCTGCGCCCCAAAATCAAAATCGCACTCGATTGGCACGATTTTCGCTCAGCTAGAAAGAGAAGGTCACAAAACCTATGTTTTTGAACGTTTTCTCTGCTGTGACGTTTTTGGGTTGTTTTTTTGAACATTTTCAAAACTGCAAAACTAATGTGAT